CAGATGATAGCAAATTCGTGGACACCCATCGCCCCCTGCCAGCAGACTGCTTATCTCCCAAAGAAGGGAATCCATGCAAAAGGACTGCTCGCTCACTGGGAGCTGCTGGAGATGCAAATAGCTGATCCTCTGTTGAATAAGGGGCCCCATGATTAACTGCAAGTTCTTGTTCCTGTGGGTATGAGAGATTTACAATTCCACCTCCAGAAAATGAAAGCTCATTTACAGATTATCTATGGCTGACTTTTGCCAAAGCCTTAAGCTATGCTGTTTCTCCCTTGTGCAAGAGAAAGGCATACAGCCTATGTGGAAAAATGGCTATTTAAGTTACCGTATGCTGCCCCTGGACAAAGCCTAAACCACAGCAACTCTTGCTGGGTTCTGCCACAGGAGGAGCAAAGGTAGTTTCTAGATGGACGTGTGCTGGCCAGAAGGCCATGTGGTGAGAGTCACTGCCTTCACAGCAAGGAGAGTCCCTTTGTAGGGCAGCTTTCCTCTTGGGGTCTGAGAAGAGGGGGCTGGGGCAAGCCATTGAGTAGCAGAAGGCTTGTAGAAGGGTCAGTTTGATAGGAGCAGCTGAGCAGATACTTCTCACCCCATCAGAAGCCGGGGAGGATTTACCATATTCTGCTGAGTTCTTGCACAGAGATGGTGTTTATAGGCTCTTCACCTAAGGAATAATTGAGAAGTAACCCCTTTTTCAACTCTTGCCTGCTCTTGTTTTTCACATCTGTGTGAAGGACAGGAGCAAAGTATTTTATCGTCTTGTAGGAGATTTTAGTTGTGTCAAAGCAGACAGGAATCTCATTGGAGCAAATATTGTTTCTGTCTCTGTTGTTCCTACTCTGTAATAAAAAATGACCTGACAGCCCCTTTCCTCCTTTTTGCCTTACGTTTTCTTATGCAGTTACGGGCTGGGTGATTTACCAAGTACCTGGATAATGATCTTTCTAGTGCTCTCCTGGGTACTAGCAGCAGTGGTTTGCTTTCAAGTACAGATGTGAGGTCACGGCTGTGTTCATCTAGGAAGCAGTTAGAGTTGTTACATACATAGTTATATATTTGCCCAAATCAGGCGGATGCTTCACAAGGCACCGTTCCTGCATGAGCTGTGAGATCACCTTTGCCATGTATGAGAAGAGAAATGCCTTTGGGTGCTGAGAATCCGTGGCTGCAGGTAACTGTGGCGGAGTTGTGTCCCTGCTGACACGGCTGTGTTCATCTAGGAAGCAGTTAGAGTTGTTACATACATAGTTATATATTTGCCCAAATCAGGCGGATGCTTCACAAGGCACCGTTCCTGCATGAGCTGTGAGATCACCTTTGCCATGTATGAGAAGAGAAATGCCTTTGGGTGCTGAGAATCCGTGGCTGCAGGTAACTGTGGCGGAGTTGTGTCCCTGCTGAACATTAGATCCAAGGAGACACAACCAGCTCCAAGACCAAGGCTGGAAAGCAGATGCTGCCTCTCACCCCGCCCCACCAGCCAACGACCTTGTCTGCGCTACTGCTCCTCAAGCGTTTGAGTGAGCGACACTGGGGGGATGTGGCCCTTGAGTTGCGGCGTCTTCCTGGTGAGGGATTAAACCACTTTGGGACTCAGAAGGAGGTGGGACTCCTGTAGCAAGATGGATTCCTTGGGATAACCTCTCTACTGTGCTTTTAGCATTAAGGCCCTCCACGTCTCTGGTGGTTCTTGTGAGCATTTGTGGTTCTCCTTCTGATCTTTTGCTCATGTCAGTATTAGGACCACAGCTGGGGCTTCCATAGCTTCATCTGATGCTACTACTCATTCCCCCAAAAATATTTCTCCTCTGTTCTTAGTTTTGGTCTATCCCTGTATCCTACTTCCCACCTCTCTTTGGTTTTTCCCTCCTCATTTCAAAAACTGCCAGTGCTTTTTGCATTCCAATGAATCCTGTTTTGCTTCATAGATCTTAAACACGCATGCAGCAAGTACTTAACCTCTGAGTGGCATGCAGTGTTCTTTGGAATTAGTCAGGCTTGCCTTCAGGACGCTGGTTAGAAATCAAGCAGTTTACTGGATCTGGTGGTTGTGGGGGTTTTGTGCTTTTCCTTCACCCTCCCATCCTCTGTCTCTCTGTCTACAGTACGGTTCCTGCCACCACATGCTTTGCATTCGTCTTCCAACAGACATTGCTAACCAAACATCTTAAACCAGGTTTTGGCACGTATGATGCAAACAGTCTGGAGAGGAAACCTTAGAACGTTTCAAGAAAGAAAGCATTTCAAAGGGATGATGTTGATGGGGAATACCCACGTTGAGCGAGGGCCAGGACCGTTGTCAGACCACTGTGGCCATCTGATCTACTGAAGACTCTACCCTTGCTTTACCTCCTTAATTTTTCCACTTTTCAGCAAATGCCAATCAGGGAATTATTTTTATATGTGGTTCTTCACTGCGGCAGCTCTGCTAAGAAGGAGCTTGTTCAACTGTGTAGATGGAAAAGAGCCTCTGGACCGTTTCGCTGAGCAGTTGTTATCTGCAGAACACAGGCACATACGGGGTTTGGGTCACACCGTACACCCTCATGTGCAACTTTGCGCTTTGCTTGTCCGTTAAGGAAAAGCTCAGCGTTATGATTTTAAGTGCGAAGCCGTACAAAAAGCTTGTCCCTGGGATCTGACAGACAGTGTAGCTTTGATCTCTGACACAGCAGTTCCCTGGTGTGCTCGCCGTACAAGCTATCGCACATGCAGATGCATTCATTTCGCTCTGCTGAATTATGAATGAAAAGACGTGCCTTCGAGTCATGAATCGGGTTGCAGACAGTTTTCAGAAGAGAGACCGTACAGTTGGTGAAGTTGCACATTAGCAGAGCGGGTAATGGATCATGTCGTATCCTACGTAATGGGTTAAATTTTGATCAATGGAACAAGCATTGCCCTAGGGAAGTTCTCGGGATCATCGTTGATGTGTGAAAGAGGGAAGTTGGCTTTAGAAAAGTCTTTAGTAGGAGATCCCCATCCCTGGAAGTGTCCAAGGCCAGGCTGGATGAGGCTTGGAGCAACCTGGTCTAGTGGAAGGTGTCCCTGCCCATGGCAGGGGGGTTGGAACTGGATGGTCTTTAAGGTCCCTTCCAACCCAAACCATTCTGTGATTCTGTGGGGTGGGCTGGGTCCAGTTCAGATCGATAGTAAGGCTCATTCTTCTTCAGCTGGCACTGGGCACAACCAGTCCCTCTCCATAAAGCAGAGCCGAAGCAGGAGTGTAATTTAAAGAACACGCATACCAATCTAACAAGTATATGTGTGTGCTTCATTGTTTTTTCTTTTTATGAAGCAGGGTCTTAATTCTGCAGGGATTTGCTGCCGGGCAGTAAGAGATAGTACATCAGACTGATTATGCTTACGCCTGTACGTTACTCCATTAATAAACCGGTTTTGTTGTCGTCTTTTGCCTGCTCATAAATACGGCTTTGGCACGTAAGCTAATTTTCTTGTGATTGGGCTGGATGTTGTCAGAAGTCGTGTTGTGTTTCCATAGCGCGTTGAATGAAGAACCAGAGACCAGCCGAGCCGCTGCCGTACCCTGACGGCAAATGTGCCGTTGGTTCATCCCGTCCGTTTTTGGCGCTGCCGTCGAGGGGTGGGCAGTACAAACAGGAGGTGGTTACCACAGCACCATCACGGATTCCAGCGCCTGCGTACGCGTGTCTGTACTCACAGGCACACGGAATGAAGCTCCCGTTCGACTTTGTGGGTGAAAAGTGAGAGGGTTACTAGTGTCTGCTCTCAAAGGGATGTCTCTGAGTTGTGATGCTGGTTTAGCTTCACAGATCCACCCAGAAAACGCAGTGCTTAGCCTTGGATGAGTTGCCTCAGAAAGCTTGCTGGCTATTAGAAAACGGAGTTTCTCTAAACACAGCCGTGAGGAGAGACTCCTCCATCCTCTGCATCATCATTTTCAGCCATTTGGAAGTGCAATCATCTGTGTAGGGGACAAAATTTCCCTTTGATGGCCTGTTTGTTTGCCACTCAGTGGTCTCAGGAGCTTCATAAACATTCAGCAGTTGAGCCTTTCCGTCTTCCAGCGGGTAGTTTAGCCTCCTCTTGCAGGAAGAAAAGCTTAGCCACTGAGTCTTTAAAGACGGTGCTGACTTGTAGCCTAGACAATGTAGAGATTAAAAACAAAAAGTGAACCGAGGTGCTATATTCCTTGTACAGATGCTGTTTTAATTTGGTCGTTCGAAGGACCGTAGTTACGTATTTTAAAATAGCTTTTTCCCATCTCTTCTGCCTGTGGAGGAAACATGCAAAATAAGCGAGGTAAGGATGGGTACGGGGGAGGCGTATGTGCAGCCTCCGTGGGCTCTCTGTTTTAGTTAAACTTTTTCATACACGTTAATGTCTTGGGGCTCACTCTGAGAAATGGCTTTGGGGCCAGAGGATGGACTGGCACATCCGCTCCCGGTCCTGCTTCTGGTCAGTGTAGGTCTCTGGGCCGACAGAGGTGGAGATAAAGCCTGCTCACATCCCTAAAATCCTTCTTTTTTTTTTTTTTTTGGCTTAATTGCCTCAAGAAGGGCTCTTTGGGATTTATGGGCTCTGTTGCCTTTCTGCTTTTCTGGCCCAACAAAGCCCTTTTTGTGCAGCATCAGTGAAAGGGGCAAGCGCCCCTCAATGTGGGTGAGGCGCTCTGACCAGAAACGTGTTGAAGAGCAAAAGGGGTACCATGACCATGGGTTTAACAGAAGGCAGTGGCTTCTGTTAAAGGGGCCTGATCCTGTCCCTGAATTTAACATAAGTCTTGGAAGCTCCTGTGAGGTCGATCCACTTGGGGAGCATGGAGGAATGGTGAATTTCTTGGCATGGGATGGGACTGAAGTTAATGATGACTTGCCAAGGCTTGTTAGCAGTTCTGTGAGGTCTGGTAGCTTGGAGTCAAAGCCAGTGTTAGGCAAGCTTTAAAGAAGAAAGGTTGGAGATGGGTCACTTGGAGGTTCAGGGGTGGCAAAGTGGGTGTTTTCTCTTTTGGCATGAGGAACTTACGCTGCTTGAGCCTCAAATTGGGTGCCTGCATGTATTAGCATTGTGCTGATCATGTCAGATCCTCTGGCTTGCTTAAATAAATCCTGCCTTCTTGTCATCAGAAGAGTGTGTAACTGTTTTCACTTGCAAAACAGCTCATCATGTATCCATAGAGCATCCTCCTCTGGCTCTAGTTAGAGGCTGAAGCCTATGTGACTTGACCTATTTTGTGAGTGAAGACTTGTTAATTGAGCGTGTAAATGTGTAATTGTCTGTACAGTTGTCCAGTTGGTGGGAGCACAAGTCATGCAGTTGGGCAAATTTTCCAACACTGGATGCTTCATTCAATATGTATCTTGAGCATACAGATGTGAACACCTTCAAAATATCGGTCTGGTTGTGGTAACCTCCTTTCTTTGGGTATGTGGATGTGCTAATCTGAATGTTTTCATCTGAGTCTCCCACATACCGTAGCTTCTGTGTTAATTCTGTCCTTTTTCCTATTAAATATGTTTCGTTGGTGTGGGAAATGGCAGTTTCCATAGAAATTGTCCAGAGGTTGCTGTTAAGGTGTGTGCTGGCTTTTAGTGAAGTGGCACCTTGTGCTTACAGTGGTTGGTGCCATACTACCTTTATAGAATCATAGAATCACAGAACAGTTTGGGTTGGAAGGGACCTCAAACACCACCCAGTTCCAACTCCCCTGCCATGGGCAGGGACACCTTCCACTAGACCAGGTTGCTCCAAGCCTCATCCAGCCTGGCCTTGAAGACATCCAGGTCTATCTATCTATCTATCTATCTATCTATTTAAAACGGTTCTATCCCATATGAAATATTAATTTGAACTGTGGGTTGGGCTTTCTTAGGGGAAAGCCTACTTAAATAATGGAAGTTGTTGGCAGTTGCTATCCAGTGCAAGTTCTCAGAAGAAAAAGTGACATTAAATTTGCAAGTAACGGTACGCGTGAAGTTGTCTCTGCACTCGGTGGTTTCTCTATTTGGAAGCTGCTCATTTGCAAAGAATGAGTGATCTGGGAGTTTTGACCTTGCAATTCTTGTCGGTTGCAGTGAATAAAACCCCAGATGGCTCCTATTTGAGGTCTGCAGTGAAAGAAAATACAGTAATACTGCTTTTCTTTATAACGTGTCCTATATGGAACTGAACACTACATTCAGTCTTTTTGAGGTGGCTTTAAAAGAAGTGTACAGGAAGGGATTTTCAGTACCATGCCAAAAGTTCCTGAGTAGTGACAGAGCTGTGCCACTGGTGTGTACATGTGATTGACAGCTTTATCCAGACCCAGGGTATTTGTTCCTATTCGCAGACCCAGGGAAAGGCCCTTTGGAGATCATGTAGAGGCCTGTCCAACCCGGCCATGAACACTTCCAGAAGGGTTGGCCTCCCAGGCTCATGGCGATGTCGGAAATAACGCCTTGGGCAGGGATGCAAACAGCGCCGGAGCTGGGGGTGTTGTTTTGATCCCAGGGATGACCGCTTCCCTAACACCCTTTTCTCTTTGTTTCTCTGCAGATGTCGCTCCTATGAGGATTGCTGTGGTTCAAGATGCTGTGTAAGGGCTCTGTCTATCCAGCGACTATGGTATTTTTGGTAGGTCAGGGCATCTGGGAATTTTATGTTTATCCTGCTCTTGTCTTGTTTGTAGGACTTAAATCCGGGTATTGCCAGCCCTACTATTTTTACTACAGTAGGTACAAGTTTGCAGTAATGTATATATGTATATATAGATGCAAGGACCCTTGTGTTTTGCCTATAAAACTTTCCTGATGTAGTGGGAAAACACTGAAAAAGGAGGATACTTGTGTCAGGTTGAACTTTCCTGCTTCTGCATCCTGCTGGTGGGTACAGGTCCCGCTTTTATTCAAAAATTGCTGAATTCCTTACGCCTGTCCCGGCTACTACAGAGCAGCAGCAGTTGGTTTTGTTGGGCACTCAGTTTTAAGAGAGCACTGTGTAAGGAGGACTGTGCACTTAGGCAGGGTTTAAGCTGTTCTTGCCAGCTGAATCGAGGCTTCAGCTAAAAAGGTACGTTGATGGCTGTGAGGATTTCACTGGAGACGACAGCAAGGGAAAAGAAGGCAGGAAGATTTGAGCTTGTGAAACCAGCGGCTCAGTAATCTGGATAAAGCTTAAACTAATCACTGTTATATGCATAATGAAAAAATAAGGTAAATTCGTTTTGGAGAGGAATTTAAGAAAGCACCTGAATAAAACCTTCTCATTACAGTAGAGAGAAAGGAAAAGCTCTCCTAGAAAACCTGATTTAAGGCATTTTTATGTACAATTTGAAGACTGCTTAAAAAAAAAAGCCTTCAAAATTGAATTGAATAAACACTGAAAAACAGAAGCCTGATATGTACTGTAATACAGAGATTTCCCAAAGCTGACTGTGGGATTTCAGTGTAAAATCCTTACTGATATAACCAAAGAGCTCTGCATCTCAATCCCTGGGGTGACGTCGTAAATCTCTGGTTTTCTGTTCAGAACAAATCCTTTGCAGGAACGCTGCCAAAAGGGAATGTATTCATATTGGCTCGGGGAAACAGGCCCTCCTCCTGCTCTCGTTTCCACCGCAGTCGCAAGAACAGAATTTGACCCTTTGCATGAAACACCTCTTGCTGCTGGGCTGTCACACTCTGCCTCTCGGGCACCTGGGAACGCTCCAGAGGAGATGAGCGTGGTGTGTAGGCTTGCCTCCGGCCAACGCTGGTGGCCTCAGGCCAACTTCCATCCCTTCCAAAAAAGCACAGTTGTCACTGTCTTCCAGTAAAGGGCCCGGAGATGAGGTAGCAGTTACAGAACCACTTGGGTTTACGGGAACTGGCATCATCGTGTCTGACAACTAATCAAGGAGAAGCAGTGAAGGCCACTGTCAGAAGAACAACATCTTCTGATGTGCCCTGGCCTGTTCCCACAGCACCAGGGCAAAGGAGTGATGAGGATGGTTAGTCAGGTCGGAAAGGGAGCTGAGAGGAGAACAACTGCAGCAAAATGATGTCCTTTTCCTTGAGAATGTACGTCCCGTCTAGGAAGCACAGGGCAAAGCTTGTCATCTGCAGTGCTGAATGCTTCCACCTTCTGGCTTGAGCTTAAATGCCAGCTGCCGCATTTCCCATGGGAGACACAATGACAGTGTTGACTAATTCAGGGACGTCTAAGAATCTTCTTTTAAGGGCAACTGCAGAATAGTATTCCCTTTTGTCCCCCCCAAACCTCCTGGCCAGCCTTGATGCTCTAAGTGCCAGGCTTGTGCCCAAGGTACGCAGTTTAAAACTGTTCCGACCTGGAATTTCGGTGCAGCATCCTGGTAGCAAAGGTCAGGTCCGAACCTGAACGTTCCAAAAGGCTTTTCAGTTTCAGATTTGTACTTTACGTGCCAGAAAACATCGGACAAAAGTACTATTTGCTGAAGATGTCCACGCTACCTCCCCGTGAGTGCTGTCTGAAATGACAGACCTGCTCTCAAGAGACCCCGATAAAAGCCGCGGGCTGATGCTTGCCAGATGGTACCCTGGTTTCTCTCAACGAACAGTCCAGGTTTGAGGGCTGCCTGAAATGCGGGTGGGTTTTGACCTCCCTCTTCTCCTTTCCCAGGTTCCTTTTGATGATGGGAGTTTTGTTCTGTTGCGGAGCTGGTTTCTTCATCCGAAGGCGGATGTACCCTCCTCCACTAGTAGAAGAACCTACTTTTAATGTGTCTTACACCAGACAACCAGTCAACACTGCATCAGGTCAGAGACTGCTCGTTACACTAACCTCCTACATTTTCCAAGGCATTTAAAAAGGGTGGGTTTGGGGGTTTTGTTGGGTTGGGTTTTGGAAACTCTGGGATTTGGGCAAGGGATTACACTGCAGTAGGTGATGCCGCAAAGTGATCCTTCTCCCCTTGTGAGTCTAATTGCCGTCCCTCTGGTCGGCAACGGCTGTGACCATCAGGAGGTTCTACCTAATGATGGCTCCTCTGGCAAGACTCCTTCCTAAGTTGGTTATTTTTTCCCCCTCTGGACGTTAGATAGCCCCAGTTGGGAGAATCCTGCAAAATAAGGCTCCCCTCGAAGCAGATGATGTTTGTGCCTTCAGGGAGCATTTTGAATGCAGCTGGTGGAAGACCCTCTACGGTGCTGAGATTTTATCTGAGTGCACACTCGGGTGCCTGCTTTCTGCCTGCCTCAGCAAGGCCAAACTGAGACATTTTTAGCCCCTCTCCAGATTGCATAAGCCAGCGCTCACTTGTGTCAGCAGAAGTACAACACCCGCAGGCACGCTTGGTCCTCCCGGGCCATCCTTTTACTGCGTGTTGTACGAGAGAGCTGAAGCCAGAGGGGAATTATAACTTCCGACACCTCTTTCTGGAATTGGCTATTTGTTTTTGTTTCATCCTGGCTTGGAAGTGGAAATACAGCTGGGTAGTTTGTAACGAGAAGGAAGATTCGCTCTGAAAATCGGGTGCCTCCAACCTCTCTGTGGAAACCCATCTTCTGAACCGTTACCTCCTGCGCAGCGCTGTGGCTGCGTGACGACGGTCTCCGTGGAGAAGTGTCCCAGAGCCCTTCCAGCTAGCCGTGCCTCCAGGCGTTGTGCAGAGATGGAGATGCAGCGTCTGGGCTCTCCCCGCTGTCCTGCTGGCGCTTGCACCCCCGCGTGCCTCCTGCCGACTTTGGAAATGCTCTTTCTTACGTCCCACTCCACCCCACCCCAGCTCTAAATGATTAAAAAGATGTTACAGGCACAAACTGACACTTTATTCACCCTCTTTTTGTTTAAATCCTAAGAGGGTTTGGGTTTTTTTTAGGGCTTCCATCCTGTGTCTGTTTTGCTGCCTGACCGAACAGGCATTTCCACAGAGAGCATTTATTTTTCAGCAGCAGAGGGTTGGGAGGGAGCCAAACGAACTAAACTAATATTTTTAAGCGTGAAAAATAACCTCAAGATGATGTGAGCAGGGAGTGTCTTTGGCTGAATTGGCAAATACCGGATTTAATTTTAGAGCATGGGGTTGGGTTTTTTTTCACAATGCTTTGTGGAACACAGGTTGTGGGTAAATATAAAATGAGCACAAGCCCTTTGATAACCTGCTTATGCCACCTGCTTCCAGATTGGTTTTACTGTTACTTAAAAGCTCTGGGCTCTGCTCTCCTGAGACCCCACCTGGAGTGCTGCGTCCAGCTGTGGAGCCCTCAACATCAGAAGGATATTGACCACTTGGAGCGAGTCCAGAGGAGGCCACGAAGATGCTCAGAGGGCTGGAGCCCCTCTGCTATGGGGACAGGCTGAGAGAGTTGGGCTTGTTCAGCCTGGAGAAGAGAAGGCTCCGGGGAGACCTTATAGCACCTTCCAGTGCCTGAAGGGGCTACAAGGAAGCTGGGGGGGACTTTTTACAAGGGCCTGTAGTGACAGGACAAGGGGTAACGGGTTTAAATTGAAAGTGGGGAGGTTTAGATTGGATATCAGGAAGAAATTCTTCCTAGGAAGGGTGGGGAGGCACTGGAACAGGTTGCCCAGAGATGTTGTAGATGCCCCATCCCTGGAAGTGTTCAAGGCCAGGCTGGATGAGGCTTGGAGCAACCTGGTCTAGTGGAAGGTGTCCCTGCCCATGGCAGGGGGGTTGGAACTGGATGGTCTTTAAGGTCCCTTCCAACCCAAACCATCCTGTGATTCTAACACCACTGGGTTTGGCTTATTATTTTTACTTTTTACTATTCTAGGAATATTCACCAGCAAAAAGCAATGGGAATTACTAGTCAATCAAGTTCTCATTTTCTGCTAGCTCCTCTCCCAGATTTGGTAGCAGTAGCCTGTTCACTGTTGAGGTGGAGCCCTTAAAACGTGGCTCCTTGCCCATCTCCTTCCTTCCCTGCAGAGGTAACGGCAGCATCTTCTGCCGTCCCAGCAGCAGCCTGGAAGTGGGAGTGCTTTATCGGTGGGCCTGACTGGGAGAATGGATTGAGCACCTCGCCTAGGAGCAACAGTTTGCAGACCTGGTGGTATCGTGGCCCGCGTAGCCCCAACCTGGCAGCTCAGGTGCTAGAAAAGGTCAAGTCACTGCGTAGACACTTAACAAATTCTGAGCTGATCCCACAGGGAGGTTCACATGCAGGTGTTGTTTTCTGCAGGGTGTAATGAACGGGAAAAATAGCTCAAAAGGTTGGTGTGCACACTTGCTCCCCCACCCAAACTCAGTAGCAGTACACGGAGGTTTTAATGAAAACAGTCATTTTCCCTAGAGAGCAAGCTGCAGTGGGCTACCTCTACCCCCATGTTGGAAATGGCAGAAGTGCGGAGCGGGGCAGGATTTAACTGTAAGAGAGAGGCTACGGAAGAGGGTATTAGCCCAGAGTTCGGAGAGGTAGGACCCAGCTCCTGTTCCCAACCTGGATCTCCTGCAGCCGCATGCTGATGCTACACCCGGAAGCAGAACAAAGGCCAAGGAGGAGAGGCAAAAGGAAAAATTAACTGTGGTGGTGTGTTAATTATTGTGTTAAGAAGGAAATAGCTGCCTTCCCGACATGCTTTCCATCACCTTTGCTCCCGAGTGTCCAAACACAGCTCCCTAGGCAGACACAGTTTGCATCCCTCGTGCCTGATGGCTCAACCCATCTGATTTAATGTCGTAAGGACGGATTTTTGGGTTTGGTGTGTAGCTCCTTCCTGAAGGCTTGAAGTACTAAAGGGTGCTTAAAGCTTCCAGAAGCCGCCTTCTGTGGCGGTAGTCTTAGTGTCACTAAGTCATGGAAAGGAATGATGGAGGGGAAGATCCCTCAGAGGCTGTGTCGTCATAGGAAAAACACGACAGCACCCAAAGAAGAAAACCTGTTGCTTGGCTGGAACTCTTTTTTTCCCCTCAGTCCATCTTTTTTCTCCTCTATTTCAGTAACTAATTTACATCTTGAGACAGAGACAGCCTTTGACTTTAATTGCTGGAATTGCATCTTCCACCACCCGCTGTGATCTCTGAGGAGGGTTACAGCCACCTGTGCTACTCCTCCTGGCAGCGTCCCTGTTACTCCATGTGTCATGGCTAAGGAATTTTGCGTTCGATCCTACGTTTCCTTTCCTCGTCCCTGCAGGCTCCAAAGTCACTTCCTAACTTTAACGGGTGTGAAGCAACCTCGTCCCCTTGTGTTAGCCAGGCATAACTGGCTTGGGGTTTTGTTGCATATGTGTTTGGTCCGTAGCCGTGTCGTGCCTAGAAGGGAAATTACCCGTTGGAGGTGCCCTCTGACTTACAGGTGGATCCCGTACACCACAGGATGATCTGGGAAGTGCTTTCCTAAGACTGGACAGCTGGGTCAGGGCTGCCCTGGAAACCCATTTGTCCATCTGGGATCTCGTGCCTCTCCTCTGCAGGCACAGCAGCTTTTCTGTCCCAGGAACTGAGCAGGGCCTGCTCTTTTCCCTTTCGGAATGGTGGCTGTGTGGGGCAGTGGTGGCCTTTGTTTCACTAAAATAGAATCATAGAGTCATAGAA